CGCCTCGACCTCCCAGAACCTTCCGCCCTGCCTTCCGCTACGCACCAGCTCGTCGGTACGCACTCAGCCCTGTGTACCAGGCTCGGCCGCAACCTCACTGGTGATTTTAGAAAGATGTTTTGAACATTTTAGTTATGTACAATCTATGTCCCAGATGTCCCGAGTTTTGTCTTTCAAAAAGTATATGTAAAGTACTGATACAGCATATTGAGTTAGCAGTTGTAATTGTCGAGTAAATAATCCATCTGAATGTGTGAAACATGTTTTCTTTTTGGAAATCGAAAAATTGCCGCGTTTTGTGAAGACTAGATCGACCTGGTCTCCATTCCTCCACTTTCTCCACCTCTTTACTGCTGAGTTGCGGGAGGTCCATTTACCTATATCAGTCAACACGCCATGCAGTATGCCATGTCCGACATCTTGATGACTCTCGGAAATAATTGAGAGCACACAAGCAGCGCAATAGCAACAGTATGCGGTGGAGGTTGGTATCGTAGTCGATATGTGATGCTAGAAATAGTACAATAACAAAGACGAAGGGTAAGTCCAAGTTTCATAGACAGATAGATCGGCGAATATCAGTCACCATGGCTTTGTTCCTCGGCGCGCAAAGAGAAAACTTGAAGGTGTCATGGGTTCAGCGGCACTCAAGTACCTCTCCTTCTCAAATCGATGTCGTCTGTCTTCCGAGTCCCACTTGAGTACAGACTTGAGGCCTGGATTTTGGTTCGACTTGGATGTGTGGCCCATTTATCCGCACTTTGTCTCCAATGTGTCCACGATGCATGACCGCGTTGGTGAGCAGCCTCCAATTGCAAAAATCACTTCATCAAAGAACGCTTCAGAACCAAAAACCCGAAGGCCCAAACACTTGCTCCCAAGCGATTCTCTCAGTCTCACATATCAAGAATCCCTCCAACCCCCGAGGCAATGACCACCGCCCGCGACAACACAACACACCCGCCCACTACTGCACCAGCCAGATACGCCCTCACAACCCCCCAACCTCTCCTTCGTCCAAACCGGCGAGCATCACTTCCACAGCTGCGCCCCCTTCGGTTTCAAAGGGCGAGAAGTGGGCGATAACCCTCTTCGTCAACATATTCAGTTCCCGCAATCCTTCGATTCTATCCCAAAAGTCCAAGTCGCCTTCAAAATGATCGATGCGAACAAGAATGCTAATTTGAGAGTGAAAGTGTGGGCGGAGGATGTGGATCAGCATGGGTTTGTGTTGAGGTTCCGGGTTTGGGATGAGAGTGAGGTGTACAGTGTGCAGGTTTCGTGGATTGCTGTTGAGACACGGGTGGTTGGGGTTATTTCGGTGTAAGGGAGGGGGCGATGTACTAGTTCTGTCATAGCTTCTTTTGAAAGTCGGATTTTTTGAGATTTGGTCGTCTTTCCGTCAGGTTAACATGTAATGAACAAAGGTTTTTGTGGACCTTTCCACCGTCATTTTTACTTCTCCATATGATGTTCAGACCTTCAGCCCACCATAATATAGTATTCCTCTCTGGGTTGCATCATCAGTTCAGACGTCTATCCCCGCAACTACGTTTGTTAGGTTATGAGCCCACAACGATCAACCAAGTGCTCATCCGTCTTCGTTGAAAAAGGAGATGGCCAGTATGGCGTTTGAACGGCAGGCTGAGCTAGGAGTAGGTTTCCAAACCGACGTTGGAAGGGATTCGTCTTACTATTTGCAGGATTCTGTAGTCCGCATCCCCCCAACTGTAATGTCGACAACTTCATTACTAGGGAAAAGCAACTACCCGAGTCGTCGCCCTGTCGCCAAGGCTTCAATATTCTCTGCCCGTCTGAATGCCACCCCCGCCGGCAAACCATCCCTTCCCGGCCAAAAGATGCCATCAATCCGTCGTGACCCCACCCCAAATGAGCCCTCCCTTCAAGACTTATAAAACTGAGCGTCACATCCCAGATTCCCCAAAAATAAAGCAACTATCTTTTCAACTTTTTCCGATGATGACCACCGATCACAATAAAACGACCCACACCCTCAAAACCCAACCTCCTCCTCCAGCGCCCTTAAATCACTCTCATTCATCCAATCCGGCGAACACCACTTCCACCAATGCTGGCCCAACGGTTTCAAAGGAGAAAAGCTGGGCGACAATCCTCTTCGACAACACATTCGGTTTCCGCAACCGTTCAACTCGCTGGCGGATACAGGACCACCCACCGTCCATGTCGCATTCAGTATAATATATGATCGATGCGAATAAAATAAAGATGAAAACTTGAGAGTGAAAAGTGTGGGCGGAGGATGTGGATCAGAGTGGGTTTACGCTGAGGTTAAGAGTTTGGGAGACTACGGAGGTGCATAGTGTACGCGCGTGTGGGTTTCGTGGATTGCGTATGCGACACAGGTGGTTGGCAGACGGTTGGCACGGGTGGTTGGGGTTTCTTCGGTGTGAGGAAGGGAGGAAAATGACGGACGACCATGAATCCGTAGTGCTATAGCATTGTTTCCGGTCAATCAAAAGATTTCACTACAAGGAATGTGGTTGAAGCACATTGACGTTGGATTATAATCGTCAAAAGCGTATTTTGAGAATTAAGTGGAAAACGAAACAGATGTCTCTAAGTTCAGTTGATTGTTGTGGCATACTGTGGTGGCGCCTTCCATGAGATTGCGGGCGTTACAGATCCAAGGTCCCCGGTTTGTCTCTGGAAGGCCGGGGGGAGGTGCGTATAATGATGCACTCCCACACAAGGAAAGCCATTGTGTGTGCAATGTGTGAAACACTTTTCTCCCACGCTGACTGGTAATTTCTGCATGCTGAACTTGACGTCGACACGTTTCCCACTGCGAAAAAACCCGTTTTTCTCGTCTCGACTTTCATTCTCCATTTTTCTCACTTCCCATCTCTCTTTCTGTAGTTAGCGATTAACCGGCCTTAGCTCAGTTGGTAGCAGCGGCAGACTGTAGTGAAGCCAGTGTCCATTAGGTATACCCGCACCAGCAGGCATCTGTAGGTCCCCGGTTCAAATCCGTGAGGCAGGAATGTAAATCTGGTTTAAGGTGGCTGCAGATGATAGTTTTGCAAAAGTTAAGGGTTGCAATTTAGTCGACAAATACACAATAGAAGTTTTTCGTATTTGACTTGTTTTCCACTGATACTCGGGCCAGCACATCCCGCCTTTGAAACGCTTTCCTCCGTTCATCCGACGTCTTTGTTCCATACATGGTCACAATCAGAATAAGTGACGCTACGGGGTGTTAAAGGTTATGAGCCGCATGACCTTGGATCAATTGAGCTTCACTTCACATTTTCGCTTTGACAATGTTGTCTGCAATCTTTGCCGGTGGGAGCGAACTTCGTTGGGTTTTCCGTACGTTCCCGCACATGATGTGGGGCATATGGGGCGATCCAACAGTTGACACGTTAAGTCCCACATATGTGCGTCTTCTCAGATATCCTTGTGTGCTTCAACACGTTCTCTCACGACCCTGGGTTGCGAAGTGGGTGCGAAAACCTGGATTCTCAAATCCCCACCAAACTACTCCACAAATTTGGACGTATAAAAGCACACTCTTCTCGCATTCTTTTCCACCACAGTCACATCCATCACATCTTCGTGAAAGACATTCACTTTTCAGTCGAACTTCTCCTTCCATCCATCATGCGCACCGCTCTTGTCCTCACAATCATCCCTCTTGTCGTGGCTCTCCTCGGCTCCCAGCCCACCACTGCGGAACCCTTGCCCGGCTACTACGATGACAAGAAGTACGACGGCTACTACAACAAATACAGCTTTGAGCAAACCTGTAAGTACCAAGCTTTGCGCCTTTCTTGACCTGGTTATGGTTTAGATTCTTTCTTTTCACCCCGCGGCTGGTATTGCATTTGCTTATGGATACTTATTTCTCGGATTCTTCTCCTTCATTTCAAAACAGATGAGCAGTGCTTGAAGATTTGCCACGCCAACAAGGACAAGAAGTACCAGAAACGCTGCTTCTACCAATGCGAAGCTCTTAAGAAGGCTGCTCATCGTAATGAGTACTGGGATGGCAAGTACGGTCACTACGATGGCAAATACTATGACGGCAAGTACGACGGCAAGTACTACGACAACAAGTAGGATGATGGCAAATACTACGACAACAAGTACGACAATAAGAACTACGGAAAATACTAAATGAAGTTGTTAGCTGCAGGCGGTCATAGTCATAGTCACAGATTTGGACGATGATGTCTCAGCAAAACAAAACCTTCTTTGATATGAGGTGGACGCCGGGTTCTGTGAGGGAACAAATGTTCTGATCCATCAGAAATACACCAATACTTCTCCATCGATCTTGCCTTGAAAGGCTCGGTAACCTCAGTTATGTTTTGCGAGTCGATGAATGCATGTGGTGGCGTTCTAGCTCTCCAACGTTAACGGATTCCTTTGGCTTTCGGCCTCAACAATATCAATGTTGGCTCGATCGAATCCGCACCAACACTGACAACGTAAATCATCCATCATCTTATGTCGATACCTGGATCCTGTCTCATATCTCATGCCACCATCTACCCCCACTACTCCTTTCTTAGAAGTAAACCTCCTCCTCGCCCGCGAAACTCACCCTCGTTACCGCATCCCCATAACAGCCCCCCTTCTTATCCTCATGACTCCTTGAATCGACATACAAGCTTCCGCACATGGCCCAAAGTTTGTTGTGTCGCGGTGTTTGACTTGGTGGGTATTGGAGATGTGCTGAGGAGGGATGGTCTGTGAGGGAGGAGAGTTCGGATGGCGTTGTGGGGAACATCGATTGTGGATGGGAGGGAGTCGGAGGGACGGAGGTGAGCTGGCGAGGGCAATTTTTGTGAACTCAGCAGCGTAGATCAATCCAATGTTCGAGTCGTGGTTAGTGTAGTTGCCTGAACCGCTTTTGAGCGAGGCGAACTTAAAGAAGATGAGAGTCAGTGTGAAGCAAACAGATTGCATGTGCGCTTTTGCAACTTTGTACGGATAAACTTGCGCTGCGTCGAATATTTTCCTTCCTTTTTCCTCGAAGTGCAATATCTTGGCTATACGGCGGATTTGGATATGTATGTGTTTTTATATTAGACGAATATGACTACAAAAATTACTAAATTATTTTAAGATTATGATAAAATTATAAAAACTGGTTTTAACCCCTCATAAAAGGGAAAGGAAAAAAACCCCGGCAGACATATTTACAACGTATCCCCGCCAAAAGAGCATTCGCCCACCATACCGTCTCACTCGAAAAAGAAAGATGGATGAAACATTATCAAGAGCATCCGGTTCCTCGACTTATCCAATCCAGCAACTACCCCAAAACCTTCAAACACGTCGCATCCTTCAAAATACATCCCCCCACCCTTCCCCCAAAAAACAGCCCAGGATGGGATCAAATCCCCTGTACAGAAGATCGTCTTACTTCGAAGAAATGGTGGAAACACAAAGGGAAAGGAAAAGACCCCGCCAAAACCCATAAGAAGAGACAGGATATCCAGACCATCGTTCCATCAAACCTCCCGCTCCTTCCATCCGAGACAAAACCCATCCCATAAAATTGCATGCCTCCTAACCAGAGCCCATCACGCACTCCGATCTCTTCTCTCGCATCACGCACTCCGGGGCAAGTCCTCGCTTTCACTCCTCCTGCTTCCGTTGGAATACCAACAAGTATGGCGCTGAGGACTTTGTCGGATCCAAAGAGCGAAACCACCTCGATATGGAGAAATGGAGTTGGAAAGGTAGATATTAGTTACGCGGACGATATAGATGGCGAAAGGGCTCCCCGTCCATGATACTTATGAATGTGAAGATGAAGGGAAGGGAAATGTACTGAATCAAACGACAACGCACCTGGCTTATTTTCTCAGGGTTATCGATTGCGGTTACGATCTCGTCTTTGCACTCCCACCAAGTGCCATCCCGTTTCACATTCGCCACCCCTGAAAGTTTTTGGGAAAGAAAGGGGCAAGATAGGGGAAAAGAGTGGGAAGGGGGGGGATTGGAAACGGGTGAGCTATTGAAACAAGGGGGCAAAGTGATAGGATAGGGGAGTTTTGCCGACTCACCCTCTGCGTATTCCGCACCGGCATCGGTAGCCCAAGTACACCCAACCAGCACATTCTCATCCTTCTCCTCGTTCCTCTACTTCGCCGACTTCTCTTTGACCCCGATTCTGTCCCTTTGTGCAAACTGATCTTCACCATTCCCGACTCGCTCACACGTCACGTGACCCCGCGATTCGCCGACGCACGTTCCCAAGATACCGTACAGAAGCCTCAGAATAGACGCAACCACCCACAACTGCTTACTCGGGGTGCTGTTTCCTACGTTCAGACGAAAGTGCCTTTACGTGTCGCCCAAAATTCTAGTACCTGAGAGCCCTTTCCGATTCATCCTTTGAGCTTGAAAGAGTTCGGGAGTTAAACAAGATCTGGAGAATCTCAATGGTCGTCCAAGTCCCGCATCTCTTTCAAGGTCAATGCAATGATACCGGAAGAGTTTTGGGCGGCGTTAATTGGAGTGACGGACATAGTCCGCTTTGGCTGAGGTCATCTATGCTGTTGCCACACACCCACACAAGTTAGTCACTTTGCAGTTGGGGTGTTATCTGGTGGAAGGATATGTCATAGTTATAATTAAGAAACGTCAGATAGATGAAGGAACAGAGGTGCGTTCAGCGCGACAGATCATACTTTTGTGATGTGAATCCAGATGAACTAAATGAAGTCAACATGGGCCATTGACGGATGAAGTGCTCTGAAAAACACGACGATGAAAAGACACGAAGGCACGCCCAGCGATCTCCACCTGCCAGGGTGAGGCTTCGCAGTCGATTTAAATTTGATTGAGTTTTGGTTCGGAGTTCTAATTCCAACAGTCGTTATGCGACCATGACGAAGCCACAGTTTCAGCAATTCATGGCGGTCGACCGCGATAGGTGGATTGAACCTAATGAAAAGAACATAAAAACAAGATCAGCTTACTGACAAACCGCGGTACATTAAGAACAAGGAGGACGTCTGGAACGGACGTTGTTCTTAACTGTCTTTGCGAGCTTTGGGGTTCGAACTTTTTGCACACATCCAATTCTTCTGGCAAACGGCTTGTCACACCACAAGGGACCCCAGGTCGCGCGCTCTCCCTCACAGAAACAAGTGTGTTGGGAGTAGTAGGCAAAGCGGGCGGATAAAGGGCGGTGATAGACAGTGGGTTCAATTCCCTGATCGTACGCAGCGCAGGCACTGAAGGTTCCCCTTCTGATTCCCCCAAATGGCCTGCCCAATGACGGCGAACATTATACGAGTCGTCCACGAGTTGAACCTGCTCCAATGAACAGAACACTAATTTCGAGATCTGGGAACGCAAGTAACTTAGTGAAGGTCTGGTTGAAGGTCCTGTCAAGTTCTTTTGTTTCAATGTTTTCGCGTACACTTCATCAACGGAGCCATGTGAAACAGAGTGACGAAAACCAACACAATGCTCGGGCTTGGTAGTGTTGAGTTGTTGCAAGGTTGTCAAGGTCTTGAAGGGGAGCTGCGGAGTTGACGAATCTGATGACGCTCCTGTAATCTGCAGCTGGGGGATTATCCGGGAGTTCATACATGACGACAACCCAGTTTGATACAGCTCCGATACCGTGGACGAATTCAATCATGATCGCCTTTGATGATTGCTATTTCCGAGGTCAAAGCACACGCAATTGCGATTCTGCCATACACGTACAAAATTGCAACCTTCACAGTTTTTCGACAAACGTTGTCTATGGAGATTTACGAGTTGAATCAAGCACAATCGTTTTCATAATCTCAGAACCAATATCGATCTGAATCATACTCTAAATCCCAGTCTGAATCCTCCTCAAAACTGGTGAACAGAACCAGCTTTAGAGACACAGTTCTGGACTTGGTCATCAACATAAAACGAGAAGTCAAGAGTTTCCACATAAACTACTAAAATTTATGGACGTGAACAAATGGAAGTGTAGTTCTCGACCAGACTGTGCTCATCACCACTCCCTTATCCCCTTAC